ATTTGTCAGTTATAGTCAACACTCTGAGGGCTAGTTGCTGTCTCCAGTTCCAGTCAATATATCATTGCCAACTTTGTCATCCCACCTAGTAGATTTTAAAAGGTCATATGTTTAATTTTGCTAAACCTAAGAACAAATTCTCAGTACTCTCAAACTCTTTACTTTCAATTCTCAATAGTTATTTACAGACAGTTGTAATACTCAACAAATTTTGTAAAAAAAATATTAACTTAATAAAATGCAGAAAGCTTTACAGTAGAATAAATTACAAGAAATACATAAAGATAATGCAAAGCGGCCACTATTATATATTTGTTTAGTTTGCCAAATTTTTTTTTTCTGCAAGTCAAAATAATTTAATTTTAATACATGCATCCCTATACATGGTGATTCAAAAGTAGAGGAAGAAACATCTAGGAGGAGTAGGGTACACCTAGATGAGTCGGAATCCAATAGCGGTCAGAAATGCAGCCCTAACCAGATAGGAGGATTGTCGCAGAAAAATCATCAACAGCCACCCGCAAAGGTATTAGGATGGAAAATGCGAATGCATCATGATGCAAATTGACATTTGAAGACCATAAGTTTTAAATAAGTTATGACTTTTCTGATAATGAAGCTACCCGAAGTTTCATAACATGGTCACCACATGGAATCTTGAAATACGCTGGGCATCTGTCAAATCTTCATGGCAGTTATGAAGATACGCCATTTGAAAACGCCGAGTGCATTTCAAAACGTCCGAGATTCCATACTTTACATCAGGGTTTCTTAAACGTTTCTCAGTCGTGACCCCTTTTTATCATTGAAAATTTTTTGCGACCCCCAGGACCCCCATAATATTTACAAAAATTTTGTGGGACCTCAAAAGTACTGCGCAAATCCAATACATGCGTGAGTGAAACTGTCAATTTGTTCACTTGTACTGTAATATGCTATTGCAGTTTTAGTCATTAACTTTATGTCCTAAGTTTAAGACATAGAGCAATGTGAAAATTCTAAATAAGTAATAGACGAAATGACAGCGTCACGTGCCAAGCAAGTAAAATGAACTTTTATATTATAAAAAGAATGCGTCGAAATGTTTTCGTTTTTTTCTTTGTCTATATTGTATTATCTTTATCTATTTTCAGATATATTATCTAAAAATATTTGGTAATTGTAAAATTATTATAATATGTTAAACAAATATCAAAACTGCTTAAATCTTTTCTACCCCTTTGGGGGTCACGGCCCACAGTTTAAGAAACTCTGCCTTGCATCATGTTTTGAAATGTGGACCTTGATCATCATGGAAGTCAGGACTTAGTTTTAAGGCCTTAATGTCAATTTGCGATACGGTATATTCATATTTTCCATTCTAACACTTTTGCAGATGGCTGTTGACAGTTTTCCTGCAGCAGCTCTAATATCATGACCAGTCAAGAGTGCATTGTCATGAGATTCCGAGTTGTCCAGGTGTACTCTACTCCTCGTATAACTTTGTTCCTGTAGTTTTGAATCACTCTGTAAATGTATATAAATATACTAACCAAAATCTGCAAGCTTCAGTTCTCCAACTTCGCTAATTAAAAGGTTCTGTGGTTTCAAATCCCTAAAAATATTGAATTATGAAATGAAAAATTTGTAAGACAAATGAAATTCATTTCATTGGGGAAACAAGTTATTTATGGTTTACCTATGCAAAACCCTTCTCTGGTGACAGTAGGCAAGACCACGTAAGAGTTGGAATAAGAAAAGCTGTGAAACAATAAAAATGGTTTAAAATATTTATCATAACAATGAGTAAAACAGTACTAAATTTTTTTTAAAAAATGCAATATTACATCAGCTATGTAGATAACAAAGGTTTTTTTTTTTTTTTTTTTTTTACATTCGACATTTGTTCTTTCATCCAAAATGGCATTTGAGCTTGAATGTCAAGTTTTGTTTATAGGAAAGAAAAAGAGACACTGAAGCTTTTATTCGATAGTGAATCTTACCTCACAGAGATTCTGAATTTAAAGTTAGTTAAAAGAGCGCACATTCTCAGTCAGCGTTTTATCGCTGAAAACGATGAAATGCACTGAAACAGAGAACTATCTGTATGCTATAAAATTGGCTCTAGATTTTGTAAGCATTTCCCAAATTTATATGCATTTTACAATTTCTGGTTTGTTTAATTTAAATCATATTTAAATATTGCACTTTCATACTAATTATTAACCCACCTTCCATAATAATTTAAGTAAAATAATTTCAATATTTTAAGCTGTATTTTACAAATGTAATATCAAGACATGTGCATAAAATGCAATATTTATACCTATACCAAGAAAAAAAAATATCTATGCATATACTAAGAAATAAAGGAAGACTAGTATAACTTACTTTTATATTTTTAGGATGTAGACCTCCAGGGTGTCTTTCTAAGTACTGGCTAAGGTCTGTATGCTACAACATAAAAAGTAAAATCATTTCTTGACCGACATATCACATAATAAATACAGCAGAAAGGATTTGTTAAAAAATTCATGAGCATTAATAGATAGTTGTTTCTGTATTTGTGTTATACATAAATAAACTAAAAAATAATTATATTTCACTGTTACTTTCCTATTTTCTCTTAAATACATTTATTTCCACCCTGTTTTCCCATAATCCTTCCTGTTTATAAAGATACTCATAGTTTCGGAAGTCAATTATATTTCGCTTGCTTTTACTATTTTAATAAGATTTCACTGGACAGACGAATCACTACCTAGCTGCTCCAATGATCTTAAATTCGAAAGAAATATTCATGTTTTACTTCTATCGTATTCAAAAAGGCATATGAAGGATGGTAGATAAGTTTCTAAATATTTGGGGAAGACTATAAATAAAGGATATTCCAATAAATTTTAGTGATTCAGAGTTTTAATTACTATTATTTACATACTGTGCATACAACTTACAAAATATACTGTATCAACTTCTTATTTTTTAGGAGTTATCTGAACATTAAGGTTATAAAGTTCCGTGTTCTTTTTTAGCATCAAATGTACGAAAACTTTTAAGACCTTAAATGAATTATCACTAAGTCTTGTACAGAGACTGAGAAAGGATGTAAAGGACCCTTTTATTTAACTTAAAAGTTGACAAAAAGCACCCTTCGTGCTTACAGAATAGCCAGCATTTTATGACTTTAATCAAAAATAACAATTTCAACTTAGCTAGGTAAATGTAAATTAGCCCAAAGGCTACATAGATAGAGAAACCCACCAGTTGGCTCAGATCTAAAGTCGGCGAGAATAATTCAGTACTACAGAATACAGCTTTCAAGAGAGTCAAATTAGAAACGTGGTCTTCAGCAGGTGAAACACACTCTGATTCTATCCTCTAAAACCTTCCTTTAAATACTATCTCCTTCTACCTCATCTGAATGCACATGAGCTAGAAATTCATATTCTGGCAGGAAAGTGGGGAACTAGAAGGACAGAAAAGCAAATTAACATAAAATAACCGGTTAATGAAATTAACTGAAACCTTACAAGGTAAAATGATTATTTCTTAAATGATTTAACTTCCGCTACACCAGATTAAAAGCACTGTAATAGGGGAAGAAATAAAATTCCATAAAAAAATTCTTGATACCTCAGGTTCCGTTTTCTCTGATTTATAAGGTTTCCTTTTGCATTTTTCTTCGAGAGAACTGGTACAGTACAAAGTCCATAATCCGGACGCCCATTATCCGGAAAGCTCTATTATCCGGACCTCAAAGCTACAAAAATTACGCATGCGCGTTTGATGCTCGCGTAAAGCCAGTAAAGCGTTTACACATGCGCGCTTCCGATACTGAATAAAGTGACAGAGAGGTTATTATTGAAAGTGAAAAAATTTCGATTGACAAGTTAGTCGGTATTCTAGACACAGCAATTACAGGATTTGAACAGTGGAACTTTGTAACTGAACAAGAAATTATGTTTGTTTATAGAAGAGAGAATTACAGAGAAAGTATTAGCATAAAAATCGAAGCAACTTAAACAACTTTCATTGAAAGAAATGTTTAATAAAGTAAACAAATAAATATTAAGCTTTTTTTTTTTTTTTTTTTTTTTTGTAAATTTTGATACTCTTTAGATCATAATTTGCTCTTTATTTCATAAATTACGGTTTCATATTTTTTAATTTTATAATTTCTGCATGCCATCTTACCAGATTTAAATTGATGATCTATAATCCAGAAAAAACCCCTAATCCGGAATCGCCGAAGTCCCAACGAGTCCGGATTACGGACTTTGTACTGTACAAGAAATTCTCGAGGCGAATCTTTCACGGAATGTGCATAACCTCAAGAGGGAAGGGGGACTGAAAATATATTTTATCAGAGCTTAAACTGCACCGGAGCCCTCCTCCAGTACTTCATAGTTTTGGGGATATATCATAATTCTAGATGGAGCTGAATGACTGAATGATGTAACTGAACGACAAATTTAGCAGAAATTTGATATGGAAAATTTTATTTTTATTAATAAAATTATATCCTAACTTCTGAATGCATACCTCTTTTTTCTTGGCAAACAAACCCTTGGAAGGAAGTGAAGACTTTTAAGGAAAGAAAAGCCTCTACCTCACACGGTAAAGGTTTATTCTCCATAAAGTACAATGAATTTTTGACAGAAGGTAATTTTATTTTCCAACACTAATGTCTTCCCGCCAAAAAGAGCACTTGCAGACTTTTTGAAAAGCTGTAACCAAAACGAGTGGATGAAAATTGTCACTACTTCCTCTTTTTCTCAGCTAACTCTCGGATTTGGAGAAAATTTGTTCCCTCGTCACATTCTGCTTGATAGCTAGTATTATATTGACAGGAGATAGTATTCGGAAAATATTCGACTCTTCCCCTTTGCTTACATACCTATACATCATCTTTCAACCCTCTGGCTGGCCAGGGTTTTTGCTTAGGAAGCACTAATTTGCCAAAACTACTAAGAGGAAAAATTATTTTCTTAATATTAGTGCAAAAATTCTCCTGGTAATTTATACCTGGATTTGTGTACTTTTAATATATTGCCTTAATTTATTCGGCATATTTTTATATGTATGTATATACGTCCTTACAGGTATATAAAAAAAATCTAGGCCATATATATACGGCCTTGCCGGTTAGAGGTTAAAATTTTCTCTATATTCTGTTATTGTTTATGGCTTTCTGTCTAATCTCCTTAGTGATGCTTTAAGCATTTTAACGTTATTGGTGTGCTGGAAAAAGAATATTCTTTATTTCTATCATTCCTTGAAATAGTACATTATGTTCAGATTTAAGTTCAACCGGAGACCGGCTGAGCTATTTCTTAGTTTTTGTTACTTTGTTTTAATTTTTTATCTTTTATATAATAACTTATTTTTATTTCTCTCTTTGCTTTCTATTAAATTTCAATTATTTAATTGTTAATTATTTTTTAGTCATTTATTTATTTATTCTTGTTCCTGTTTCCTGATGGTCTTCCATAGAGCTCTGACACTTCTAATTTTAGAAATTAAACCCTTGATTTTATTGACCTTCTGACCGGTAAGGCCTCATACATACGACTTATTATTTTCTTAATATTAGTGTATGTTTCTGAATATTTTTGTGATGTCTGTAGGAACGTATATACACGTTCATGTTCAAATATGTCCAAGAAAGTAAGGCAATATATTAAACGTATATAAATCGAGGTATAAAGTACCAAAGATATTTGGGCATTAAAATCAAGAAAATACCTCTTTCTTATAGTAGTTTTCGGATATTTGGGCTTTCTTAGTGAAACCCCGTGCCGGTCAGAAAGTAGCATTTAGATTTAGAATTTCCAGCTTCTTTTATTCACTATCGTTTTATATTAAGTAGTAGATTGTTTTAATTGGTTTTACACATTTAAATTGGTTAACATTTTAATTGGTTTTACACATTAAAGACCATGTGCTTGTAATATTAAAGACAAATAAGAATAAATAATTAATACTAGAGCACTTGCTCATGACGATGACGTTTCCAATCCCCAGCTAATCTTTGAGTAACCTACGCTCCTAGCAGTTTTAATATTGTAGTGAATCACCCTATATAGTTACTTATTTAATAGAATCTGATATATATGTTGTTCATAAGTAAAGAAAAAAATAGTCGAAAATGTTTTTACTCACAACATATTCAAAGACGAAAGTGAGTGTTTCCCTTGTGTGGATGATATCGTGAAGGGTAACAATGTTGGCATGTTTTAGACCACGAAGTAAGGAGGCTGAAACACAGAAAGTTGAATAATTTGAAGCAAACTTAAATATTTTAATAAACTTCAGTTGCACAATATCAGAATAACAAAATACGTACATTTAAAAATATAGGATAAAGATGTTTGAATTATTCCTAAAAGTAAAAATACTTTTCTTAAAAGCACAAAAAACATCGTGATAGTAGCTATCAAATTAAAAATTTCATAATTTCAAATGATTTATAAAGAAAAATCACTAAAAGAAGTAACGTACATTATGTGAAAAATAATAAATTAAAAAGTTTTTTCTCCCAATGATAGATTGTGAACAATTAGAAATATAACGATGTGGTGGTCTCTTCATTATGGAGGCATCTAATATATTTATTACGGGCCACGATCGCCTTTCCTATGAAGAGACCAGCAGTTACAATCATGCCTTCTTCGGGATTCGAACCCAGACCCTTCGGCTTCGCAGTCAGCTTCTCTAACCACTATACCGACTGGACGGCATAAATTCAAATTATGTATTAAAAATACTGGTATAAAAATAAAGGCATCTTAAAAACCTGTATGACTTTTCTCTGATAGTTTGCACTATGTTTAGGGCTATGAGAGATTATTAAAACATTTTCAAATTTGTCTCATACAGGTTTTGGAATCAAGTGGAACAAAAAAAGGAGGACAGTATAAAATATTTTGCTACATAAAAGGCATAAACAGAAACGCCAGGAAAGATATTTGGGTACGTAAATTATGCGCATTTTATTAGAATGCGTTACTTAGTTTATAGCAGTAAAATGCTCAATATTTGTAATTTTGCAACAATTCCATTTTTAAGCTGTAAATTAAGAGGTAAAGAATCTGAAGAACTTCCGCTTACTTTAACATATAATTAAGAGCTACTAATAAAATTATTTTAAGAACTTAAAAAATGAGCATAAGCCGGATAAATACAAAAAGATGGGTGTTACAACTCGAACGCGAAATGAACGAAAGTTTCGCTTCTGCCAGTGGCAACAGGGAGTCGAAAAACAAACTTTGATGTGAGTGGTCGGTTACTCGGCTTCTCTTAAATAGAATTTGATTTCGAAGGGGGATAATCCCCATCTTTTGATTTAAAAATAACCTTGAATTGCGTAATTAATGTAAAATAACAGATGTGCGTAAATAAATAGTCATTAAGACTTATTTTGAGTTATGATTCTATTTTGAATTGGACATCGAAATCAAAAGCTCTCCCAAATAGAATCTTCGACATTTTAAAACTCGTGGATTAGAACAATAATGGGAATTAAAGAACACATCATGACAAATAACCATAAATAATCATATTAAAATTTGTTGGTTACTTGTAGATTAATATAAAACACATAGTAAACTTTCAATGTTTCAATACCATTTTAGTCTTTTGAAAATTTTCTAGGTTATCTGAAGATCAAGTATTTTCCTGTTAAAGCTTAGTATAAAATAGTGTATAATAATCGTTACTCGTAATGCTAAATAATAAATCCTGTTATTGATTTGCAACCAAAGACAGAGTTAAGTTTTCTTAATGGAAGACCAAAACTGGTTTCATATCTTTTTCAAGTTATATGGAAAAGTTAAGCTATTTATATATTGTTCATTCTAAGTGTTAGTTGGAAATATACTTGTTAGCTGCTGTATAACCGGAAGAAACATTTTATATTTCAGAGGCATATAAAGAACAAGGGTCACACTTCTTGACTGATAATAGAACCTAAGATCTCTGATTGCAGACCAGTTTATCAACATTGAAATGCTGAGTCATTTTCAATTCTTTTCATATTTCTAGGGAATTGAGATTTTCCACAGTGCCAGAGAATTGAATTCTCTCCTAGTCCCAGAAAATTCAGCAGCTTGCAGAAGATTTTACAGCTGAACTGAGAGTGTAAAATCAATTATGCTAAGACTGTATTAAGATGCAGTGGCATATCGATCCAATCTTCTCACTTGAAGAACATTTAGAACCATCAATCTAGGTTTAGACAACTTCAAGTAGGGATGAAATAATAAGATATCGGCAATGGTCTTTCTATAGCGGATTGTTGGGAATAAAAATGACTTTCGTTTTACTCGCTTGGGAGTCAGGGCCACTCATCTTGGCTCTTTTTAAATGACCTGTCATCCTAACCCTACATTTCAGGATATTTCGAAATGAAGTCCTTGAAAAGAATTGAAGATGGTAAAGAAAGAACACATCCATTTACCTTCTCGGATGGCCGTGAATGGAGCTCCTTCTTCGGGTTGCAGCCGTATCTCCTTAAGAGCAACAACCTTGTTGTTTAATCTGAAAAATGAAAATAAGTTCACAGCGATCATCGTAAGACTGTAAAATCTCTAGAAATGATGTGAAAATTCTTAAAAATTCCATAAAGAAAAATAATGCTTATTTAAATTTAGTTTCTTAAATATTACCCTGAAAATAAATTACATACATCTGTAGAAAACATTCAATTTTATTTAATTCAGCTTCAAGAATACAAGTTAATATTTCGCTCAAATAAAATTATATACAAGTTAGTATTACGCTCAGGTAAAGTTATATTATGTTTATAAATAATCAAGTAAAGTTAAAAGCTACAACTAGAGAGTAGACATAATATATTCGAAGAATCGCACATATAAGCATAAATGTTATATGGTACAAGAAATTCTGTCAATTATGCAGTATTATGTACCATACATTTCATTAAAAGAATCAGTAACCATTCTATCTGACTGTAACGCACTGTTGGCGGATTGGGACCACTGGGCAGTCATTCCCAATTGGTGATGATTTGCCAACCATTACTTTTAGCTCTGGAGTTCATGTGGACATTTGGGGAGCAGATTGCTTGAAAAAGTCACTTTACAGATAATCTAATCCTCGTCTCCATTATAAAACACTGATATGCTTGCAAAATCTTATTTTTTACAAATCAATTATTTTCATTTTAAGAAATTTTCCTTTTCCTTCTGATTTCAATTTCTTGCTAGAATGCAAATTTAAATTACTTATATGCAAAATCTCTAGTAAGATTCTACTAGATTTCAAAAAGATTTTGTAGCAGAAGAATTAGTAATGATAGAGCGGATTATGCCGAGAGTTGCAAGTGGCTCTGTAACTGAATATTTATGCTCGCCACTTACTCTTAGATTATTTGATATTTTAGACTCGGCTTTGCTGCACAAAGCTGATAAATCTGATCAGATTGAAGTAGTAACCGTTCGTTGAAATTTGATTTACTCTGATTATACATACTGTTTAAGTTACTTATCCACAAGTGGTGGTTGGTTCGTGAGCACCGAGTGCGTACATATTTTGTCCAGTTTATTTGAAATAAAAAGTTTGTTATAACCTTCGTCGGCACTCATCTGTTTTTCAAGACATAGAAAGAATTCTCTATCTCGTTTTTAGTAGGGTCTACATTTTATGCTCTCTAAAAGAATAAGACTCTACAAGTGACGATCGGAACAGCTTAGGACCATGGAAGAAGCTACATGTAACCTGGCTCATTCCACAGCAACCGCATCCGTGGCTCAAACCAATCCAGTGGACTGATTTGGGCATATTATCGACAACTTCGACGAGGCCCAAGTGCCTGTCTGATGGCAACAGTATTTGTAGACCAACTAGATCAGTTTTTTATTATATCCAGTAGGTGACATCCAAAAAGTGACTACAGCAACTTCAGTTCTTCGAGCACAAGTTTTGAACTGGTAAATTCCTACTTGGAATCCAGGTACACATATCAGAAACTTTAAAGCCGCCCTCCTGCCTTTAAAGTCATAAAATATCGTGCTCTGTTGTAAGTATAAATTTATAGCCAGTACCAGATGAACGGGAAAGATTTGACAAACTCCATTCTAACGTAAAATTCAAGTAGTCAAATCGGTTATAAGAAACAAAAACCCGATGAGGAAGCAATTAAAATCATCCTGCCAAGATTTCTACCTCCGGCGTGAAATAATGCGGGCACGCAGAGGTATGGGCAAGAATCCAGAAATTTTCGCTCGCCTAGGGCAGATGAACGACAGAAGATTAAAAGAAAATTTAATTGGTCAGAAATTCTTTTCGCCGAAGAGAAGCGACAAACAGAAGGACAATAAACAGCGGCAAGAAGAGACGAAACCGAAGCAGTTAAACATCTGAGGGGCGCTATAAAGAAGAGAGGTCAGCTGCCTCGGGAAGAAAAAAATGCCTTCCAAATACATGTGAATACAGTTGTGGTAAAACTTAGAGTTACCGGATATACAAATTCTATTGAACAATGTGCCGGCAGTCGCCTTAATTGATACTGGAGCACACCGCAGTCTTTTTTTTTTATTTTCAGAAAAATGTTTTGATAACATTTTAAACGCCATTGTTTATTCAACGCCGAGGGTAGTGATTCAACGCAGTGATTGCAGCTCAAGGGGTACGCTGCTCTTGCGCAGGAAAGTTTCTACTCAACATGCAGGTAAAAGGTGCGCAACAAAAATTTATATGCATTTGGCTTTGTAGTGAAAAATTGGCAAGTGAATGTCATTTTATGTACGGATTTTCTGAAGTCCGCGGGAGAATAATTAACGTTCAGGATGCAAATATCAGTTTGCAAATAGCTGTGCAAAAAAAGCATGTAGAATCCAAGCCTCCATTGCTGGAGCTGAACGGCCTTAAACTCGAGGAAAAGGGTAAAAATAGAAAAATTAGTACATAAATTTGCAGATTTAGTTGGTGAAAAACCAGAGTTCATGCACGTGGTAAACCACGCAGTGGACATTGGAACAAATTTACCCTGTAGGGCTACGTTATACCGCTATATAAGATAAGATAAAGGAACAAATAGAAAGACACGTAGCTAAAATGTTGGAAAATAAAATTATTGTACCTTCTAGCATTCCGTTTGCAAGACCAGTCGTGTTATGTCGTAAAAAGAATCTTAAATTTACAGCCTCGGAGTTTTGTCATAGATTGTAGAAAATTAGGTAATATTACGAAGTATCTCATATATCCACTAACGATCATAGAGGAGATAATTAGACAAATTTAATCAACTAAATATATGACCAACTTAGATCTTACCTCTGGCTAATTTCAGATTTTCATGAAACCAGAGGATGTTCAGAAAACTTTATCACTAAATCTGGCATATGCGCATTTTTACACATGCCATTCGTTTTATGCGATGCTCCCACTACCTTTCCAAAGAGGTATAAGTATTATTCTTCAACCAGTCCTTTACAAATCAACATTTATTTATTAAGATGACATTATATTTTACCAGTGATTCGATAGATGAACAAATTAAAGATTTGAAGTCTTTATGCTTTTACGAGATATTGGTTTAAAAGTGAACCCCAGCAAATGCAAATTCGCGGCAAAAGAACTAAAACAGCTAGGTTATAAAATTTTCGCTAAAGTTATCGAAACTGAAGATTAAAAAATTATCGCAATTAAAAATTGCCCTCCACTCAATATAGTGAAAACACTTGCCTCATTTCTGGGTACGTGGTCATATTATAGGTACTTTATTAAAATTTTCGCGCATACTGAACCTCTCTTAAAACTGAAAAGAAAAAAAAAAAGTTAATATCTGTTGGTCGGTGGAAGCCAATACGTCATTTGAACAATTAAAAGCAGCAATTATTACAGCCCCAGTACTGATAGTCCCTGACCCAGAAAGTCAGCTTCAAACATCTGCAGATTCGTCGGACTTTGCCGTAGGAGCCGTGTTATCTCAAGCGGGGCGACCAGTAGCCTATTTTAGTAAGACATTGAACCCTGCGCAAGAACAATATTTTCATATCAGTCGAAATAATATTTTATATCTTTGAATATGTTTTTTATACGATTGTTTTTTATGTTGGGGTAACTGAGTGGCTCTATCGGTTCTTGAATGAGAAAATTCTGTGTCCGCTTCAGGGGTTCACAAACGAAATGATCCTCAACCATTACTAATTACTATAACTAGATCCAAGTAAATATACGCATGCTATTAAAATTTTACCCATTCAACAACATAAAGATTTCACAAATAACATAAAGCTTTAATTGTTTAATAAGAAGTGTTTGTGTTTTCTCAATAGTTTTAAATATGTCTGAAGATTCTCAAATTCATAAACAGCTGATAAACTCTGAAAGGCAGAGTTGGGTAAGTTAAAAGGCTTTTGAGCAAGACATCAGTAGATGTAATACAAGATAAGGCGCTTTATCTTTACTTCATCCATCACGTAAGCATCATACATCGGTAGTAAGCTGAGAAATGATACGCATGTCTCAGTTTTCACTCAGTGTACATTCCGAAATATCACTGTAGTGAACTTAGTGAACTAGGAAGTTTAATAACGCTTAAATGTTTCTTCGAATTCAGTTATTTCATTTATTAGTAATATAATATTTTAACAAGCGTTATTAAACAATCATTTCAGTGATGTAATAATTTAAACAGAATATAAATTTATTAAATTTAAACAAACTTTTATATAGAAATGATTATCGTGAACTGGACGTACTGGCAATGATACTACTAATCCAACGGAAAATGTTATTTTTTAGCGCCTTTTAATAATGATGAAATCTTTATTCTCCTTCCTACCTTATGTCTTTTTTTCTGCAATTAGTAAAATGACATGGATTCTACAAAATAAATGATACACCCCAAATGTTAGAGGTTATTCAGATACAAAACATGAAACCTGACTAAGGTGTGTATCATGCTTATATATGAGACTGTTCGATATGAAAGTAAAAAAATGGCCATTTTTCAAATTTGGAACAAAATATATCATATGGTGGAAAGAAAGCTGGCCATTCCGAAAAACAACACAAAAAGAAGACGGCAAAAACTGGTTATATTTTAGTCAATGATTTCATGAAAGCTGTCGTTTATTTCCTATTACGAAACAAAGAATGGAAGATAATCCAGCTGAAAAGCGAAACATGATAGACATTGCTACATTCTTTGTTGATATACAGTCTGGAACAATGGTTATTTTCAACAGTATATTTTCACACTTTTTCAGGGCACAAATATGAATCCTACCTGCGCCAAGCTTAACTGCACAGATTTCAGTGAGCGATCCTTGGAGAATTATGTGCCAGATCCCTACATTCATTACCCAGACAGACCAAACTCGTTACAAGCACCCGTTGCACATAAAGGAAAACGCAGTCATTCTCGTCAATACTTGTTTGGGGATGACGCTGGGAGAACGCTCCCTCACGCTCTTCGCTTTTACGGTTTTCTCACTGAAACTAACGACATGGTGAGCAACGGTAATCTCCCGCTACCGTAGTGGGAGAATTTATTAATGCTGCCGTAAAAT